AACATGCAAATGAATAGATTAGATGATTTACCTCAAAGTTTTAATATATTTTAACCATGTTTATAACGATTGAATACTTGTTGAAATACTTTCGCCAATTGCCGTTTTACTCCTCTACAGATTGAGTCAAAAATGTTAAATTTTTGGTTTGTCTATGAATGTCATTAGTTAACACATCATCTGTTTGATATAGTTCCTATTATTTACAGTATTACAAATTAGTTGACATTAGTAGTTTTTTAGATACTTCGGTATTCCAAATTACTAACAGAATTGTAACTATTCTGCATTTTCTCTACTGATCGTTTTACCCCTTTAAGGCTTGAATTGTGATATCGTTAATTCTTGATGCAATTTTTGTTCCATATATTTCAAAACTGTTTAAATACGGTCTTTTTAATTTTTTTATTTATATAGATAAATGTGATGTCTCTGAGTGCCAGCACCATTTTAAAATATCTCAGAGGACTCCAAAGAAGTAGGTAGTAAATATTTAGAAGTGTTAACCGGGTTCTAGGCACATTTGTTCATGACAGCCTTTTATTGCAATACATATAAGTGGTAGTACGACGAACCGTTACGACATAAAGGGTTAAACAAGTGAATTAAAGAGACCGCAATAGATGACAGGATGTTCTAACGGTCTCAATGTCCTAATACGTTTTCAACAAATGCATCATGCAGTAATGATTTTATGCAAAATTGAATTATATAGAAAATATTGCTGGTCATATCCCACCTTTAATATTGATTTATTTATTCAACCAAGTCGAACTTCTTTTTGTACGAATAATAGAATGTAGTACAATGAGATGGTATACAGTCACGAATGTGATGTGAAAGTGCAAATATGTAATTTGATTGCAACTGAAGAATTGTTATTTGCAATTACATATTTTCGATAATGTTAATCCTCTTTAGTAAATTTAAGAAAATTGTATACCGCGGAGTGTTCTGGTTAGACAAACAATCAAATTACATGTCAGGTGAGATAGGTATGAAATTCTAATCTAAAATGTTATCAGCTTAGTCACGCCTCACAATGCGTACAGTTTTTTACGATATTACAGAATCTAAATATTAATCGTTAATGAAATATTTACTAAATGATATTACAGTATCAACGGTTCCTAAGAACTCATTATTACACAATATCAGATAAAAATTTCCAAATAATGATTATTTCAATAACGATACAAAATTATAGTGATTGCAAGAAAAAGTTAAAGAAAGCGAACGTAACTATTACTACATATTTAACGGTTACTTAATAGAAAAGAAGAATTTTAAACTTGCAATTTCCAAATGAACGTTTGGCCATCGATTTTTTTCAACCTTTCTTAAATTTATCTTACGCTTATGTGGCGTTACCAGATCGGTCATTTATGCTGATACAGGTTTTAGCTGCATGAGCTAATGAAAGAGCTATAAAGTCTCGTTTAACGTTCCATTTCGTTTTCTATCGTGAATAACATAGTAGTTATTATCTATTTGAGTCACGTGATTTGTAATGACCGATGGTTCATCGTGAAGTAAATTATATGTAACAGGTGTTTCATATTTTGCAGTATACTTCATTACTGAATGATAATGAACATAGAAATGCGTTCACACCATATCGCATATATCTGGATAAATTTGAAATAAATGTATTGAAAATATTACTCTAAATAATAGATGTTAATGTAATTGCCATGTAATATGATGAAAACGTGAGGTAAATCAACATGACTTTATTTTTATATTTCTTTTCTCTCATTCTTGTACGTCGTATGAACTAGAAAAGGTTATCCAAGATATTTGTTTGCATAATGAATTTCAGATATTTTAGATTGATTTATGATATATTCTTAGATTTGTATTCTTATATTTTTAGATTGATATTTTTAACGTCAAACTGATTTAAATGTGCAAATTATTTCATGAATATATAAATCTAGAAAGTAACAAATAAATAATTGAACTTTTATAAAAAACTTTTATAAATTGGGTTTATGTGAATTAATATCTATCTTAATATCTACTTTTTTTACCTTGTCACACATTGCTTTATCGAAAATGTGACGTCTTATTGTCAAAACTCTCGTGACAAATGACGTCTACTGATACAACTATTTACACGTGATAATTACGCACGATCGAAGCTATCATTGTGTCATTGTCAAGATCGAAATTTTTGCATGTTCCTGGCACGATAAATGGGATTAGTTTCTTCTTTTATCCTAATTGTTCTACCTTTTTTAATGATCTGTGGAAGTAACAACGTAGCACTTTTCCATTAATGAGAAGGATAACGAGTAATTCTAAGAAAGTTATTAATCTGAAAAACCGCAATGGAGGAAAGATTAAATTGCTACAGTTACACGAACAGTTATGAGTTTGCGAAACACTGATCATTCTAGTGTATCATTTGTTATCCGAAAATTTGCGAAATTCCTGCATTTGTTGATAACGGTCACTAGTAAGTGTTAAATATCAACAATTACTACTTAAGGCTCTCTTTGTAAACGTCTAACATTGCATTCTACGGTAATCTCCCGTTTACAAGAGCTAATAATATTCAATCTTACAATCTGTGGAGTATGTTACGCACTTTCAGTAAAAATCTACGAATGCTTGTAGAAACGAGACACGCAATCTTTTAAATTGATTGTTCGGATATTTACGTACGATTCTCTATCAAAAACGTGCTTCGGCTTAGTTGATAAGTGATATATCTCCTGATGATACCCTGCCTTTAGATATGTGAATCTTATATATTAATTTGAATATACGAATACATACCTAATATATGTATTTTATACTAGAAACAAATTGGAACGGACAAAATATAAAGTTCCAAATTTAAAACAATGTACTTGTCCACTGTGCATTAAAAAATTGTACAAATATTACGTTAGTCTGAAAGAAAATTGCATATGTAGCAATAGATATGAATTGAATGCATACAAACGAAGGAAAAAATGAGATATGTAGGCAGTATTCATAACATTGCAACTAAACACAATCAGCTTATAATTGCCCATGTGCGTTCTTGCTTAATGTTTTTAGTGTTTTACATAAACTTCGAATATGTTCGTAGAATCTAGATAATCTTTTGTTTCAAGACAGATGTATACTGAACATTATAGTAAATTGTTGCTACAAGCATTACACGTCGCGACTGAAAATGAAGGTATGAAAGACTGAATGTTACAAATATGATTGCAAGGCCTATACCAGAATCATATTGAAATATACAACATTTTTAGAACATATACGAAATAAAGAGTAAAGTAAAGGAGGCATGATAAAATGAAAACAAAAAAATGTTTTTCTTAAAATGTGCAGCTGATATGTTTAATTTTTTGCCGTGTACATTCAATTAAATAAAATGTTTTGTATAGCAGTTTATTCTGTAGATATAAAATATTATATTAAGAATTCTACAATCACTCCATATAATTTTAACCGAACATTTCAATTAGATCAACTTTCATTGTTCAATGGTCCATGATTTAAAAAAAGATCAAAATCACTGCTTTATTAAATCCTAAGATCAGACATGGACTCTTGATTTGAATAATGAACATCTGTAACATGTCGCATGATTGATTTAAAATAATTAATTATTCATGGAAACAATAAGTAACAAAATTATGCAGTCTGTATTTTATTTAGAAAAAATTCAAAATACTGTCCTACTTCGAATTGTCACACTTTAAAACTCTTCTTAATAATTAACGTTACTACAGTAATAATGTAACTTACTCTTTCAATGCAAGTCAAATTATTTTGCATCGTATTAACAATAAAGTAATCTAAATACTACAATTTTGTATATTCGGTAATAGTATTAAAAACAATTCATTAAATAATTCGCATATTAATTTCGCTAAATTTTAACGAAGGTAGAGCCTTTATTTTCGGAGCACACTGTACATTGCTACGCAACAGCATAAATATAAGGAAACATTCTTTCAGCGTTACATGGAGTGCCGAAAAGGACAAAACACGATGCATGTATTGTATTTCTTGAGCAAACAACATCTAATTCTTGTTCCTCGTTAACGCATTCCTTGCCAAGCCAGTTTTATGCGATTTATTCTCCATCCTTGACTCACCCAGTATGTTCATTATATTTGTTAAGTAAATTGTGTTCCATGATGGTTACAAAATTACAACAATCTTTGGTTCTTATTACAAATAAAATATCACACGGCCTGGACGGTAAGTCCCGGCGTAAGTCACCGGTGACCGATGCGGCACAGAATATTAAGCAAATATAATATATACAGCAATCGTCTGAATTAGATAGTCAGTGTTTATTAGTAAGAAGTAAAATAAAGTCACGTGGTTGCGATGTTTTCATTAAATCTGCATTTAAACGGAATATCCTCCTGTTCAGTCATTTAACATCAGAGAGCGAATTATGCTAATTTGAGTAAAGATTTCAAATCGAGGTCTGTTAAAAAAAAACGTTATCGTTACGTTGGTATCGAAAAGGCCTTTTTACACGAGCCATTGCAACGAAAGTCATTAGAAATCATAAAAATATGGCAAAAAACCTCTGATAAATTAACTGACAATTAAACTAATTGTACGCGATAAGATATACAGCATCATGCCGAAGCTGAAGTACCAAGATTGGATACCATTTTACCAATAAAATAATTATGAAAATTGCAGGGATTAAATGGTTTGTAAATAATTACAGCAGCGTAGTTTTCCATGGGCTCGAAGAGTAAAGAGGGGCAGGCGAAGAATGAATCGCTTCGTCGTTGATGTGACAGTGCTTCATCGACCAGAACCGAAGCAGGGAGCGAGGGAAGCCAAACCAGTCTATCGGAAATATGTATCGGTTCGTTAAGCAGTGAATGAAACGTTAGTAATTAAACTATATCTCGCGATATATGATAGCGATAGCGAAATACGTTCACGGACAGACAACTTCCCTCCTGAGGTTTCGATAAATCTTCGATCGTGCTCGATCGTATGTGGAACGTCAGTGTGAAAAAAGGATGACGAACGTGCGGGACGTTAAGAAGAAAGCACCTGACGGTGGCTGGGGATGGTTCGTTTGCCTTGGCAGCAGTTTAATATCGGTGATTATATTTTTCTTTAATGATCCTTTTTTTTTGTATTCAAACGACTGGTGTCATGGTCGTTTGGAAAATGTGTCTATAACTCATACACACTTTGGACATAACTACACCTCGAAAAACGTAGTCATACTCAATACAACTAGAAAACTTTTATTATTGGATAATGATTAGATTCTGAAATGAATATGAAAAAATAATCGTTATTTCGTTAATTGCAAATTTGTTGACAAATTTGAATTTTAAAGTAGCTATTCAATGTTAGACTTGCAACACAATAAACTTTATTTGTATCAGCTGACAAATATCAAATTTTATTCAATGGATAAGCATTTTCGTCTTCAATGCAATTGATTTGGAAATGTCCTGATTAAACCTGTACAAGAGGCAGGGTTTTTCAGAAACGACTTAAGTAAAGTAACTGGTTCTTATGTCAAAACAAAACAGATTATTTAAGAAATAATTCTTTATAGACGAATAATTATAATAATGAAAACATTGCTCGTTAAAATTTTTATTCTCTTGACTAAGAACCTTCTAAGCAGTGTATAAAATTTAATTTCAATATTATGAAAGTATAAATTACTTAAAAATATGAAGAAAAAAATAATATTTTCATTATTAATTATTTTAAATACGTTGTCTCATATGTTTAAACAAAACATACAAAAAGTAAGTTTATTTTTGGTTGTAGCAGAATGAATTATTTCAAAACAATTGTCCACTGAAAATATTACATGTACGAGAAAGAGTTCATGTGGTTTTGTACTACAAACTTTAGACAATTCTTTTGGTGACACCTGAAAGTAGCGTAAGGTCGATTATTATCGTTCAGTATCAGCATCCGTTCTCGATTACATAAAATCAGTTTAGTTTGTATCAGCTTTAATTACACTGTATCTATTTTCATACAATATACAGGTGATTCCACGTAGAAAAATAATTATGAAATGTTGAATAAATTTTTTTCATACGAATGTTTTTTCCAGCAAATTGAACACACAAAATTCGTCGAATACGCCAATATTTGAGTACCACTATAGGTTGTGTATCTGCTGATTATTAGTCATTTCTACTTTGGTTCGTGTTTATGAAGAATGAGAGTGGAATTTCACAATAACTCGATATATGTATATATTAACCCCTTGAATTGGAGTATCGCCTCCCTGGTGTTCGCATACTCTCAAAGACTATGATACAGATAGTATCGTATTCTTTGTATTGTTTGACTTGTTAAATCGTACTTGTGTCGCGAATAAAAACTGAAATTTCTTTTCCATTCAAAGTTATAGCTATAAACTCAATTAGAATAATATTTTTCGTTCAATACAAAAATGTACCTGTAAACACAATTACGATCATTTTATGCATTACCTTTAGCTTACACTAAGATCTCTGGATCCTTCGTTTGGTCTCCTTTTTCACGACCCTTTGATGGAGCTTGAAATAGATTCCACAGGAACGTCGTTGATAACGGGTATCCTCGATGCCATCGTCAATTTTTCAGGTATAACATCATGTTTCTTAACATTCTTGAGTCCAACGTTAAGGTTTCTATATCCTTTAGCGCTTTAGAAATTTGATGAAGTTATTCGATGTTCATTTATATCTGTATGTAAATACAAGTGAATCTGATGATAAATATAAATCTAATACATTTATATGTAAAAATAAATTTTATCAATAGCTTTTGATACTGATTGATATTTATACACGGAATTTCTAATGTTTTACTTAACATGGCACGTACAACGTGACTTACTTATGCTCACTACTTTGAATATAATTGAGCAAAAACTTTTCAATATTATCTCGATTAGTACAAAATATACGACGAGAAAGTTATCTGTGTTAGTACACAAGGTAAATTGTTTTATCCGCATATAAAGTACCTGTCAAATAAATTATTATTGTTGTCGCTTTACTAGGTAGTTTAACAGTCTACATAACATATTTGAATACAACGTTTTTTAACATCTGCATAAAAGGCGAGACATAGTTGTACAACTATTAATGAAAATTAATCTACACTTTAAATTCATATAATATATTAATATTAATATTTTCGTACGTGTATTTACATTACTCAGAATAAATGGAACACATTTTATAGAACTGTAAAACCACTTTTCCTTTCTAATCAACGTCACTATAAACATTTTGTTCAGACATTGCAATAGTTCTATCGTCCCAATTCATTCGCAGAAATTGTGTTTTAAACTAATGTCCTTTCTTCTTCGACGCAGGTCTTCTCATAGGACCTTTGTTGAAGAGATTTTCTTACAGAAAAGTGGCCTTCTTCGGGTCGCTTTTAAGTTGCATTGGATTGATACTCACATCGTTCGCCAACAGCATAATGCATATTATTTGCACTTACAGTATTTTAGGAGGTACGAAACAATAAATAAATATTTTAATTATGTACATTTATTACTTCAAATATGAAATTATCAATATAACGTTTCTATGAACTACGTTCTGTTTAATATCTACAATATGTTCTAATTAAAATGATCACTCAGAATACGTCTGTTGTATAAAAAAACTCTAGTAATTATGTACTTTAATTCATAACTTATTTGTACTCGACATACATAAGTCAATGGTCTTTGGCATTCAAGGGATGAAAAATTCTTTTACTGTTTACGTGCTGTCTTTAACACGCTGGCTGTTTAAATTTTTACTATTTGGACGCTACCGAGAAAAATACGTCTATTTAAGTTTTTCCTGTGAACAATATGAATATTTACATGCTGACTTGTGGACTCATTATTTTGATCGTTACTCTCTATTACTACTAATATTTACAAGACTGTCAATATTACTGTTCAGAAATAGAAAATCTTTTATAATTTAAAAGTATTAGCGCATATATTACCAGCATATTTTTCTCACCATAAATCTATTAAATGATTTAGTATCTATGAATAAGCAACGGAAATACATTAGGTAGCCGTATTAATTGAAACAAATATGTATCCGTAATACGTGTATATATGATGTATGTATATGTACATGTCATTTATCTTCGTATATTTTTATAGGTTTAGGAACTGGACTGTCGCTAGCGTCATCATTTGTCGCATTAAACACGTTTTTCGATAAAAAACGGGGTCAAGCAGTTGGCTTTTCCATGGCAGGGACAACATTAGCCATGATGCTAGTACCACAAGTATGAAATCAAATTCGAAAAACATCTATCAGTATCTATGAATATTCTTAAGATTCATATTAATATCATTATATTGTTAGTTCTACTTTTGTCTATGTTTTTGATTAATTTTGTATATTTCAAATTATGTTTAGTTATTTTAAAAAGATATTCTTCATTCATGCTTGTCATATATTTAAAAAACGATTCAATGACATTCATGCGTAATATTTAAATTTCTCAACAGTTCATACACGTTCTTCTGGATGCTTATGGATTCCGAGGAGCCATGTTAATCATTGGTGGATGGGCGCTCCATTCTGTAGTCGGTGCTTGTTTACTGAGACCACTAAAAACTGATAATACAAAAGTTACTGAAAAGGTGATTAGAACGAATGTTTGAATTTTTCCATAACACGATAAATAAACCTTACGTGTGATCAGAGTATTATAGACTAATCCTCATAAAACGGAAATCAAACCAAAAATGTATTCTGTATTAACGATTATATTATGTTAAAAATGCTACAATTTATTCACGACTTTATTTTATTGCAATTTATACATACTAACATAAGTATATAACATATGCTGTCTAGTGGCAAGTAACTTTATTAACTTGTTAGAAGAATTACGTTGAAAATTAATTATTGCAGACGCATTTTTTACAGAATCCTAATAAGACGACAGAAATCGAATCATTACTTCAGAAAGATAGCAACGGTGTGGCAAAAAAAATAGGAAATGCCACATTATGTTCAAAGGACAACGAATTGATGAAGGACGAAGCAAAAAAGCAACAAAATGATTCGTCATTTCTTGGAAAGATAATGGAAACCTTTGATTTGGACCTTCTGAAAAATGGTGTCTATGTAAATGTTATTATCGGTTTGAGTCTTTATTATGTTGCCGAATCAAACTTTAAACTAATGACTCCATTCTTCCTATCTTCTATAGGTAAGTAAAATTTCTTGATTGAAAAAATCAGTACCGTAGCGAAGGATATTAGTGAAATATAATGAGATTCTTACGAAATCCTAATAAAAGTGCTTAATTGTATTTATATCGGTGAAGAATAATAATTCTATACCGGGTATCTCCCTTCGCTGGACCAACATAAAAAGTAAATTGAAATATTAGTATTAAGTTGTCTGTATTGATATCAATAAATTTTTCTTGAGGATATCATAAGTAGACATGACAACTGAGAGATCCTGCATATTAGCATCAATTATGAACACTTATTTCCTTCTATTTATATGTTCATAATAACAGATAGATAAATAAAATATTTTCTATTCTATAATCAAGAAACTCATATCGTTCATCTGACAACCTCGCTACGGCACACAGTGGAACGAAACTCGAAAAAACGCGACAAAATGGTCAAAAATCGATTGTAAAATTTTCTTGTATAATCATCTAGTAATTTACACCTTCTTGTAGTATAAATTCTGCAATTAAAAGGCATATGGCGTGTATTTTATACATTCATCAGGTATGGAACATGTGATGAGAAATTTAACACTTTTCTAGAGCATTCCATTACATTAAAATGTTTTAACAGTTCGGTCAAACTAATATTATTGTGATAATATTAAAGAAATAGAAATGTTGAGGTTTCTTATTGTATAACATAATTATTAAACATCTCAGATTCCAATTTTAAGTTGAATCACACGCCAGATATTTCAAGCATTTTATAAAAAGCGGATTTATATTAAAATGTTACAAACTTTACTCCAGCGTTAAAAGTTGAAAAATTATTATAAATTCAGTAAAACCTGTTTTTATGCGGTAGATAGGGACCGCATAAAAGAAACCGCACAAAAAAATATTCGGAAATTTCATAAATACTACATATAATAAACAACTTTGTACGACATACTACAGAAATTTTTTTTTATGCGGCGGAGAGGGACCGCATAAAAAAAGTCGTACTTAGAATATACGTCAATTATTTACGAAATACATGAGAAAGTGCTTCCAAACAAAATAAATAATTAAATTACACATTATAAAAACATTTAATTTTTCATTGTATACACGGAGAAGTTTTCAAAATGCACATTACATAATTCACTGCTAGTCGTCGTAATCCCTAACGCGCATCTTCTTGTGATGAATTGGTTCACCATCTGCTAGTCTATTTAATATTAGATTTTTTGTTTCTAATGGAATTGTCTTTCTTTTCACTTTTTTTTGGCTACAATTATTCATTTTAAGGGAGTACATATGTTTAAAAATAAAATGAAAATCATAAAAACTATATACAAGTAGAAACGAAAGTAATTAATTTATTTACCTTTAATCTCACTATAAAATGTATCCTTAATCACGTGAGTCGTGGATAAAACTCGGAATACGAAGCGTATGCTGCTAGCGCGTCGAGCGAAAATAATTCAATGTACATTGTCGGGAAACTGTTTAAACCAAATGAACAGAGCGTCTTGAAGTGTATATTTATATATACACTGATAGAAAACATTACAGTAATGCCAACGCCGTTGAAATTCATATACCGCATAAAAAAATATCGCACAAAAATAAAATCGCACAAAACAAATCGCATAAAAATAAAATCGCATAAAAAAGGACCGCACAAAAACAGGTTTTACTGTAGTCTGTACAATAGAAAAGCAGGGAAACATCACGATATATTTATGTTACCGTCGATTTTCCGATTGTTTGTCGCGTTTTTTCGGGTTTCGTTCCACCGTGCGGCATTGTTTAGGATTTCGGTAGACACCACCAAGGAACTTAACCGTCGATAGGACTGACAAAGGTGGAAATTGCCTCTTGTTTATCGATAACCGCATTCACCGACATTATTGCCCGACTTCTACTTCCGACCATCTTCGACAGATTTGGATTCAAGAAGAGATCTGTCTTCTGGGTGTCCTGTATTCTGGTCGGAATTGGACGATCCAGTGAGTATTTTTTTATTTCACACTAAAAGATAACAGACACAATATTCAAAATTATAAAGGGAAATACCTTAACACTGGGGACTGTAAAAGAACGACTTTTCGAGCAGTTTTTTCTTATTACGGTTTTATATTTTTCATGTGGCAATATATTGGGTTGTTAGGAAATTTCGTAACGTTTCCAGAACAGTCTTCGTTAGCTACATATGTACTGGACGATGGCAAAATTGTTGAATTTGGTGAAACGGTACTATTTTTCAAGTTATCTTTTTTTTTCGGTCTTTTGTGTGGGATATATCAACGAAACGAATAAACAAACAGTAAGTCCATTTTCAATACGTTCTACCAAATTTGTAACAAAACTAGTCTATTTCGACTGGAAAATTTTAAAGCATCTACCAAATTAATTAGACTTTGCCCCATGATATGATTATTCTTTTGGATCGCTAGAATACTCATCTAACAGAAGGTTTAAAAGTTTCTTTTTAGCTGAATAGTCGAAGTTATATACAACCGGCACATTAAAATTAATTGAAAAATAGAAAGAAATTGTCAAAGAATGTAGTAAATATGAATTTGATATAAATTGAAGTATACATATAGTTTGTAAGCCTGCCTTTAAAATGGCTGCGAACTTTTCGACCAACCTTATACATCCTTTAAATAACAAAATTAATTACAATAGATTACAAGATTAAATGTAATAGAAATTCATCGACCAATTTTCGAAGCACTATATACGCATACTTTGTATGATTTTTGTCAATTGAATAGATATGAAACAATGTGAAACTCAGTTCTGTGGTTCTAATCAGTTCCCGCTATTTTTCCAGTTATGGCAGCCCAAACGAAAGGAATATGTTTGGTAGTGACTTTCATAGTAATCGGCTTCTTACGAGGTGCCACTTTAGTCAATTTGAATCTCAGCGTCTCTGAATGCTGTTCCTTGAAGAAATTGCCGAGTGCATTTGGAATGTTTATGGTGTTCAAGGGTATATTCGTTATAACAATGAGTCCTCTAATTGGTACGTTTATTCATCTAATAAAATTATATTATGCAATGATTAGTTTAATTTAAATCATAATGTATAGTACTAGTCAGTGTAGATTGGGGTTTTAATCATTGTAGATACTACATATTACGCTGATAAATAAGATAGAAAATAAATAATCGATTCTTATCTTTCGATTACCGCAATGCTATACAAAGTATTGAATTTATCTTGACTTCTTCAGAAAGAAATAAAAAATTTGATTATTAATATACATACCTACATAGATATCAATTATTCTTTCTGAAATTATTGATTCGTGATTATGTAATAATGTACACGTTTGACTCAGAAGTTTCCAAATGGAAATTAAGACAGCAATTTTTCTTACGATAATCAGGCTTATTTTCGGCAATTATTGAAAGTAGTTTCTTTCCTACGTGATATATACAATAATTAAAAAAACACTGGAACTAGATCGGATAATTCTTCTTCAAGATGGTGGAAAAAACTACAGTAAACAGTTGGCTTCACGAGTTTACTCAACATTATGGTCTCAAAAAGTGTCTCACACTTAAGATTATCCATCGTTCTATTCCGTGTCTATAATTATTGTGAACAGTATATCTCTATAAAAGAGAACAATTTTTAATATTTCATCATGAAAAGCATGATCATTTTACTGAAAAGACTGCTGCTTTAATTTCAATTCGCAAACGTTTGGAACAGACCGCGTAAACAGGATGTTATGTAACTGGTGGTACAACCGATTAGGGGGTAATTCTACGTGACAGAGTAAGACGAAACTGTAGAATAAAATTTTTCATTGGAGACTTCATTTTCGAGAAAGTCGACTTTATGTTTATTGCATTCCGTTTCTCCTTACTACTATGACGAATACACGCGCTTCAGATTAATTTTCAAAGTCGATTTACTCGAAAACGAAGTCTGAAATGAAAAAATTTCATTCTACATTTTTGACTTACTTTTTCACGTAGGATCACTGCCTACCCATCTGTTCCATCAGTTACATGACATTCTGTATACCTCCAGTGACAGTCAAAAGTGAGTATACACTTTGCAAGTATGGGATTCATTCATATTTATTTCTCTCAATTTAGAATCGAATATTTCACACAGATGTTCTGTTACATTGAGATCTGATGACTGTGGAGGAGGGCTTGAATGATCGAAATTATTTTCGAGCAAACAATGTTTAACCACATTTGCTTCTATACATATGTTGGGTCACGATCACTCTAAAAGACCCATGAACATATTTGCAGCTGAATCGCGATCAGCAGAGATTACTCTGTTGTTAGCAGTCCGATCGAAAATATTTTTATCAGGTATAGCATGGTTTCGAAAGAGCTTTAACGTGACTATAGCAAATTTTTTGTCAACTCTTTTTTTTCAAGGTCACCTTCAATTTTTTGTAAATACACCTATGATTTTTTTACGCGTAACAAATGTTATGTTATGATACTTACCGAATTCGTCTCGAAATCCTCTAACAGATAGGCGTGCAAAAATTATAATTAAAACATTTTCGATCGGACAGCTAATAACAGAGTAATCTCTGCCGATCACGATTCGTGGTTCACCCTGTATTGTACATGACAGACGACGCATATAAAATAGTAGTAAAGCAGGTAGATAATAAGTAATGAGTAATTTGTTTTAATAAATATCGTTCTTATTCAGGGTACATACGAGATGTCAGCCAAAGTTATACCCTTTGTATACATATTATGACACTGATGATAAGCGGAACGTTTTTTGCGTGGAGTTTCGAGTTCATCTTTGACATATATAAAAGAAGAGGCAAATCTTTTTTACCCTGCAAAAATGAAGTGACGACACAAGGGACATAAGTCAGACGTCTAAATAGTAAGGTGACGTTAAGTGTTTTGACTGCGTAATGAAATCATCCTCGTAATGACGCGTACCTGATACTTTACATACATGCGCTGGATGATCCGCAGTTGAACTATCAAATTTCGACTGTATACTCTGTAAATCGAGATAAGACAAAAATGTTATATTAACGTATGCGTGGAACTGCCTTATTAACACTTTGACTGCCACGTCACCCAAATATGGGTGACACGTACATTGCAAAGAAGCTGGATTATTTAAATGTCGTTATAAAATTTTTGCGTATAATTAAGATCGTAGTATAATTTAAAACAAGACCAACAGCCTCTATCAACTACACGCATATATTTTCGACGATTTATGACTTAAAAAACGAGATAAAGTGTGTCTGGCTACGTACGGTCATTTTCACTGTGGCAGTCAATGTGTTAAAGGTGTAATAAAGAGTATAAACGCGACAGCAAATGTTAAGACATTTAAGACGTTCTGATTGGATCACGTACACTGACATGCACACTTGACTTCCGCTAGGAGAAAAAATGGCGTAGAGGAAAGGCCTCATACCACTTGGTCTCGGGAATTACTGAAGTTTATTTTAAATTAACATTTGCTTCAACATTTATATCAGTACCTGAAATTTCACCAAGTGGTAAGAAGCCCATTTTTCTAAGCGACTTTTTCCCCTAGCAGAAGCTGAGTTTACTCGTGAGTGTACATTCGAAAGGATCGCTTAAATATTAATTTAATCACGTGTTTCCTCTGGTACGTAAAAAAAAAGCGAACCAGTCGGAGTACGTCAAAGATTTCAAGTAGTAGAACTAACTGGATAAACCAGACTAGTTAAATGTCATCGATTACTTTGTACATGACAATATATTAAGGTTATTATCACTCTCACATATAGTACATTTACTGTAAATGTTTGCTAAAGCGTTTCTAAATATACGTTTGACGAGGTGTAAATAAAAATGTGGGACACTTTTACATCCTGGATTCTACATACAGAACTAAGACAAAAATACAGAATAACGAAATTACGTTCAAGGTTTTGTTTTCGAGTTATTAACACGTTCAATGCTGACGAATTATTGCAATTCTAACCCCAGTGACGTTAATTCTTTCAATTTATTTGTTCGCTTAGGTTTACTTTGTCACAAGTGAAAAGATTTAAAGTGGTGGGAACTCGGTCAAAGGCCACTCGATACCTATACTGACCTCGCACTGAACGTATTAATTGTTCAAAGTATCGGCGAAATACCCGTAAAATACACCTGACACAACTGATTATTCGACTTTGATTGTTTCACGTGATGGTTTCATTCATTCGATTTTATTTCATTCATAAAGGACATCGATCGATCTCATGTATCAGCTGAAAATCGGCTGTTCAAGCAGTATAGTCCCACGGTGGCCTCTTCTAGACCCTTACTGTAGCTCCCGTATACTTACGCAATATTTTTTTATAAATTTGATACATAGTACAACATACACGTATGTAACATTTTTGTAAGTTTGCTGACTTTCTTATACAGTGTGATATTAGACACAAATTGTAAGCATAACTCACAAATTAATACCGTCCTAATAAAGGATGCGACTCTCGAGTATTTCTGATAAGTAGACTGCGGATTTTATGCATTTATAAGCCCTATAAAATACAGTAAAAGGCAAAACTTTCACCAGATACAGCGAGTTTTCTATTTCAGTTTAAACCAAATAGGATACTTAATAGGTGAACGAAATGCCTACATTTGCTCTCGTTTTTATGAATCACTTTATAAAATATTATTTTCCATAAAAATTCGCCGTCTACTGATAAGCGTTATATGGCTCCTATCCTGGCAAGGTTTGGCCACCATCGCGCCAGACGTATTTTCAACAATTAATAACTCAGAAAGGAAGCCTGGAACGCAATTTCATCATTCTTGGTTTTCGACGCATTAGTTTGGCATGTAGAATCCATCCTATGGATGTCCCACATTTTTATTAACACCCTGTATAATACTTTATTTATTTTTACTCATAATATATAGTGGCAAAGTTTGCTCGTACAACTGTGAACATTTTGAACTGTACTGAGTACTACAGATTACGCGTTAATAGAATTAAACAGTGAAGGAATGAAGTCTGGGATAAATTCACAGCCACTGATCGTTCCATCATTAAGGCAATCATATTCGTCGACATTTAAATTGTTACGACTCATAATTTATACTATAATTTCGAAAAATGTAAAATATATTACGGTACAGTACAGTGGATATATAAATTAATATTGCAATTTACATTACAAAATGTGAGAACAAAGATAATATTTGAAATTAATATTGTAATTTGCAACACGAAATTTAAGAACAAAAATAATGTTTGTCTAAATCTGAACACCAAAGTTAAAGTGTATTAAGTACACTTTCTTTTAAAAAAGTGACATTTTATGTCTTTCTTGCATTCAAATTTTACACTCTGTCCGATAGTAAAAATTATTTCGTTCTAAGTCGTTCAGTTTTTAATGTAATATTCTAAAAATTATATTAAATCCATATCTTATTAGTCATCCATTCTAATTAGAATTCTTTTTAATTTTAAATTCTTCAAAAAGTTCTTTACACATATTTTTTCATGAATGATCAGAGTTTATCCCCACCCTGTATGATATTATGTGCGACAAAAGATATAATATTATTTGACGAAAGATTTTTGCTATTTCCTTTTACACAAAGAAAGGCAAAGCCACTACTAATGAGTCAGTACAGTGTCCTACCTCATATCTAGACATGCGTAGTATAGATGTCTCTACCGCTCGGTACTTTTTAAGCATTTGTATTATCCCCAACGAAAATGATACGATAGAATTAAAAAGCTGCGAAGCGTAATCTCTTTTACCAATACTTATAGTGTATCTGCAATTGTTAAATATGAATATTATAATTTATATACAGTTTAGTACTCAGTTTTCTATAAGTTTGTACCTAGTTAGATAGTGGGAACGTGTTAAAAATAAAATCTTTGCAGGCTGATACGCTACATATCGCCTATTTTCTGCAACAATGGCAGAACTAAAAATTTGCAATTTTTGAGTAATAAGTATAGAAAAAATAGTTGTTACCTGTACTTTTTATAGATTGAAACCTGTAAGTGAGATTCTAAAAGTTACTACATCAGAACAGTCACTTTAATATGATGTTCGTACAAAATTATAGCAAACAAAGCATTCAAATTCGTTTCCTCTAAAATCACTGAGCGATATGTTTCCACCGCCCATTTGAAAAGCTTTAAGGGGTTTCTTTTGAACTGAATGGAACAAGTGTACACGGTAAGACACAAAAGTTTTGGAGTTAATACTAACCTAGCAACTTTTCATAACGTATCGATGGTCTTTAAGATTATAAAAATTGTGGAAACAGTTCTAATGTCTTCTTTAATGTAGCGAAGAAAATGGCCGTCGAAGCCTTGCAAACTTAAAAACTATATCAAATTGCTCTTATTTCGTGTTTGTTCCCATTTTTGGAGACAGGAAATAGTCTGGCAAGGGAATTTACTCAGATGTTAACTAGCTTTGGAAAAATAATGGTTTAAAATTATAGGACCCCGTCTCCTAAGAATTAAAATAAGTGTCACTCGCTCGGAAAATTCAGTATCGACCAGAAAAATGGCGTCAAAGTCCGTTATAAATACACTCGCAGCTTGGGCTCTCCTATAGTGGCAACCCTTTTCCGTCAGCTCCGCCATAATGAAAAGATTACGATGCGTGTAAGTGTAACCTCACCATAAAAATAAAAGAATGGACCTAAAAAATATAGTGTATTCTTTATTTCATTACGCAACTCAAATTACACGTGGTAATCGACGTTTATCATCAAATACGATAGTCCACTAAGAGGATACCTCTGAGAATATATTAATTGTCAGACGGCATACAACTCAGTCTTTGAACATTCTGTTAAAACATTGATGTTTAATGAACACATACATTTGTTTCGTCATCGCTAAGATTCTGCTTTTAATGTACTCCTAACAAATAACAACAAAAAATTATTACAGAACATTTATGTAGAGATATTAAATACTAACAGGGGGCAACATAATATATACAGATCGTTTAAATAAAGGTGTCATTTCGTGTATATGGACCCCAGAACCAGATTACATAGGTCCACTTTTTTGAAAAATGACATTTTACATGTTTCCCGCAACAAATTTTTCACTCCTTCCGATGGTAATAATTATTTCGTTCTAAGTCGTTTAGTTTTACATTTTTGTCAAAATGATATTAAGTCTATATTTTATTCCGAGCCAAACACTGTAAAATCCATCACATAGAGGACTTAATGCAATGTTCACCATTTCTACATATTCAGGCTTGTCTTTAATCCATTCAATTGTTCGAAGGTAGCGGTTGTTTCTCGTTGAATTTTTGTCGAAAACTTATAAGATTTATGGACCTGTGGTTTGCTCTCGTCTAAAGTTTGGTAAGTGTGACTTAATATACTCTGGCTCTAGGTCCAGATATGTAGACAGAAGACTTTAGGTACAAGAATCTGCACACACTTAAAACGGTCGTCTCACTCTTTCGCTGTTAACATTGAACACGATTGTTTACTATAAGTGTTGTACTTTTTAATGTTTATTACTATTCGTAGATGACAAAACATGATTCATCGAGTAATGGTTATATAGTACATACATGATAATTCCTCATTTTCTGTCCCTGAAGTCATGAATTTTAAATTCAACTGTTTCTAGAAATCAATTTACCAGTGATTCGTCGAATGATCGTGCTCAACACCCGCAATTTCGAAGCAACGACACACACTGAATTTGCGAATTAATAATTCGTGCAATACAAAAATATTTCTTACTCTTCGTTATTTCTGTATGAAACCATTATCGATAGATTACTGAAATGTTTCTAATAAATATGAGAAATTATTATCCTTTTAATAATATTAAACTGGAGGTTATTATCCCCTTGCTCAGTTTAGAAGACATTCCTCAACTGGCTTTTCACATTATATTTGTATCCTTCGTATTATTTATGCTGTCTATTTATATTTCTATTGTCCTTCGCAATAGTCTATAATATGGACACTTGAGAATTTCGTCTAGTTCTCAATTTGTCTAGCTCTTCACAATCATTTCATCTTTTTCATTCACGTCTGCGTTTTCTTCTATGTCTACGCGTTTTGTCGTCGGTGTCACGGTTAACTTCTGCATTTCTTGTCCTGCTTCCACATTGGGTTTCCCATAGGTATTCCACGGCTGTTCCTTTGACGTTCCAAGTAGCATGTATACGATACTACCTACGACCGAGTTCGCAGCAGCTATTATGAAGACTATCCGCCACTGAGATACAGTTTGCTGCAAAAGAACATTCTGGTAAATAATGAACGCAACGTAAGATATTACATAAGAATGCTATTTCTTATTGAATACGAGGGTGACTAGAGAAATTCAATGAAACAATTATTATGAACAATTATTATTTATTAGTATTGGTTACAGGATTATTGGTCAATAAAAATCAAGTAGTCAAACATTTCTGCCACGGCATGCAGTTATTTTTTCACTTACAAGGAAAGTACCTCAACCGTATCGCTTTGATTTTGTCGATCTTTTGTAGGATGATAGAATACATATTTCTAGCGATATGTGTGAAATATTAACCGTAGTTACTTAATAGTTTTAAAGGTATAATTAATTAAAGTTACATACCTCGTTATACATATAATGTACTATGAACATAAGTGACTGTGAAATCCACGATACCCAAGTGACTTATAGTTTTGTGACCTTTTGACTTTTTTTTCAACTTTTTTTATGGTTTCCAGATTTACAAGCCACGCAACAAGTCACTTCGCCATCGCGGATTTCACAGACATCTATATTCACAGTACATTATATGCATAACGAGGTATATAACTTTAATTAATTATACCTTAAAAACTATCAAGTAACTACGGCTAACATTTTACACATATTAGAAATGTGTATTCTATCATTTTACAAAAAATCGGTAAAATTAAAGTGGTGCAGTTGGAGTCCTTCCCTTCTCAGGTTCGTCAGACTTCTATGTCTCAAAACTTTTGCAGTATTTCACGTATCTTGGAAACTTTTTAAATTTCCAGAATACCTCAATTAGATTTTACGAGAATAAACATATATTACGACTGTAAAAAAAACTGTCGAAAACTAATGACTCAATGAAATGACTTTGAAAACTCGATTAATGAATTCATTAAGGAATGGGTAACACGTATACCCAAATGAAAAAATATAAGTCCACTTGAACAAACAAAGATCAATTTGAAATCTTGAGAGCACGTCCACCTACATAAGATCTGTGGTTGTCGTAAGATGTCTCCCTCCAAACAAAGTAAATTCTGCTTGAAATATTTTTTAGATTAACGAATATTTCGAGAGACAATTGCGTGTAAATGCTCAAATATGACACGCTCTATGAGTGCCATATATTCAGCTTTAATTCATAATAAATAAACCAACTAATTTTCTAACGAATTCAATGTTTTCTGTGTAGATAAAGAAATCTCGCCTTAATGAAAGACTCGTATTTCGGTATACGTTCCGAAATGAATTCACTTGTGCTTGTATACATAGTTTCTCAAATATTATGTTGACAAAAAGAAAACGGAGGTTTGTTACTCACATTGTTGTTCGTTAGAAGTCCAACCACTGCCGGCGAAATGAAGCCACACCATATTACCACCATTCCACAGAAACCAAGGAGAACGCTGGCGTAATTCGGGCTCAAATCAACGAAATTCGCCAAAGTCGAAGCGGAAATTGCTCCGTTCACGGCTGTGCCGGCCATCATAAAGATCACTGCGAACGTTGGATGACATCCACTGAATCCCAAAATCAGAATAAACAGGCCTTGCACGCCAGTACACACAAACGTGGCCAGTTTTCTAACGTTTGTCAAGCTCATCTTCTTGGTGCGTATCAACCAGTCGCTCATTATAGAGAAGTAATAAGAGAAGATCATTCTGAGTAGGTGAGGAGCTCCGGAGAGAAGACCAGTCTGCGAACAGAAGAAATAAAACAACATAAACTGTCAATAGCCCCTTTTATTTTTTAGGTTTTATTAAGGTACTAAGAATTCATTTAAAGGTGATAATTGATAGAAATTTGATATAAAGGATGATTTGAAACTAATATCAGAAAATTTACAGGCATTCACCTCATAACTGTTAAACTATTATTTGTTCGAATTATCAAATGGCACGGGAACAGCAATGAATATTCAGATATGAAAACTTTCAGGTTACAGACAAGTTTGCGTAACCATCAATCCCAAAACTATACTTAGAGGGTGTATTTTTTTCAAACTATGACAATCTATGTGTCGGCACTGTCGTGCCCTACGTTTACTGCTACGCAGATTGCTCGGTTTCAGGCGTCTCTAATCCGAGTTTTTAACTTTCAATAACTAGAAAATATAGTCTCGAACGTAATTTTGTCTTTTGATTTTGGTTTTGTAACATTTTTACATGTAAAATTATTCGTTAAAGTTTCTGACACGAAAGTCATTGAAAAGCTATTACGTCCTCACTTAATACTAGATCTACCGTAACAGTTAATATTACAGATTCTGAAACTCGTATAAAAATGATTAGAATATTATAATTTCAACAGTTTTTATTTTTACCGCATTGATGTTCCACCCGTGAATGAAGTTGAAGTAAGACGGGGCTTGTGTCATCAGAGTAAGAAAACCCCAACCTCCACCCCAGTGGGCAGCAATGGTGATCCAAACTGGACGCGATGATAAAATAGACTTCCATGGTATTTTAGTTTCCTCTTTGACGACAGAGCTACTGATGTTGTCCAAAATATATTTCTTTTCGTCCTCAGAAATCCGTGGATGTTGTTGAGGAGAGTCGTGTATCAGGAACAACCAGAAACCGTACCTTTAGGAGAAACTTCACGTGACTGTCCAAGTCAAAAATATGTGCAGTGTGTCTAATTGTAAGTCAACTGAGAACGGTTGAATATTACTTAAACGAGTGAAGATGCTGAGGTGACATGCATTCTGGCAATGCCGTTCCTGCAATGCTAGAGGCAACATCTTTATGTTAATTTCAGGATTTCGTAAGCTGATGTACCTAAATTTCAAAATGTTTGTATAAATTTTTCCGCAACAGAGCCAAAACCAGTCAGATCAGTTTTGCGTCAATAGCACGTTCAAGCAGGCTTTACCTAGCAAGAGAGTGAAGAGTCGCTTTGATCTAAATCCTTAGAGCTCTGTTAATGTACGACCTTCGATGGGATTGAACTACATCATGTTACACTTATTTGAATTCATCTTGAAAAACGCTATCATATAATAAATAAAAAGGTATGGCATTCTATTTAAAAGAAAGTTGATCAAATCTTGAAATTTTCCCCACCACTGCATCTACAAAAAAAACTATATACACTGTAATGTTCCCCTCTGTGCCAAAAAATATATATTTTTTTTAAATATAAATTAAATTTATATTTTTTCATATCTTCACTCGCTTACGAAATATTTAACACAAATACACTGTACAGTCTTCATGAGAGTTGAATTTGAAATTTTCGATAAAGCGTCAAAGTGTCACTCATTATGGAGAAATGATTACCAAATCACGCCAAGCAGAGATGTCACATAAAACGCTGCACTCCAACCGAAACTGCTGCTGACAGCTGCGCATAGCGGATAAGTTATGGCGGCTCCTACGGAACTGCCTATAAAAATACGCAGTTATAAGGATGTTTGTCAAAATTTATATCTTTAGACATTAATTTATGAACTATTATTTCATAAATTATTTATGAATTATTATCGGAAATTATGCAGAAGAGAATAAAGAAAATTATTTTTTCTTCTCTTTCATGCTTCGAAAAGACAGAGAAACAAGCACAAAAAAAAAACAAACTAGACCTTAATGTAATTTCCTTTCCTAATGCATGAAATAAATTAAATGAAACAAAATTTTTATAATACATAAAATATATTATTGATTTATATAACAAATGAAATAAATATTTAGGATGAAAAGTATTTTTGCTAATAAGTAACAAACAAGTAACAGATGCATCCACGTTTATGTACAGAAAAACAAAATTCGATGACCTGAACACGTCTGTTTCAATGAATAAAATTTAAAATGAAAAAATAATCTGATTACTTTCTTAATAATCAGAAGAAAAATTTGATATAGTATGAATGAATCGTTTTACACAATATTAAAAATGTTTCAAACAAGTGTTAACAACACATCTTACCCAAATAGGAGCTGACAAATCTACTCCTCTCATTCGGAGGGATCCATTTAGCCGTCATATCGTGCATCGAAGGCCATATGACACCCTAAGTAAACAATATTTCTATAAATATTGCTTGAAATATTTCACCCTCTATATTCCATTAGATAAACTCGACGTTTCCATATGCAAGATAACACTGTCTCTTGAATAAGCGACGCTTATGAATGAATGTTAATTATCATCGAAATGTGTGTTTGAGTAGTCTTTCATCAAGTTACCGATGAAATATTCATCAGGTATTTAGGATACCATTACTGTTTCATCAATTCTTAATTGTGTTGACTCACTGCAGCCAGGCCCTGAACAACCCGCAGGAAAATAAGCGCGTACAGATGATAGCGTGTCATAAACGGTATTAGAAAACCGAGAACCGCTGTCAGGAAGTTTCCTAAGCCGTAAACAAGCTTCGTTCCGTAACGTCTCGCTAGAAGCCCTCCGGGAAGCTGCGATAACCAGTGCAACCAGTAATAAGCTCCTAGAGCCAAACCTTGCTGATACTCGTTCCAAGTGAAGCGATCGTGGTACTGGAAACAGCATCGAAGGGGGTATGATAAGATCGAATCGAGGATTCCAGCACGAATGTAATAAAATTTGGTTCTTCCACAATTACTCGAGGAGTAGAGACCAGTATCTCGTAAGTATTTGCCCAGACGTATTTAGATTCATTTTACTAAAAAATATGCCAAATTTTTCAGAAAAATCACAATCAGCGTTATATAGCAAAAAAAGTTCATGATTGAAGATTCCTCACGTAACATGTAAAACTAAAACGAGAGAACAAACACTTATTAGTGGTAGTGTACATGAATTTTTTTATGGACACTATACCGATAGCATGATAGTATACGAATAGCGGCTGAGATAGTGGTACAAGCGCAAAGTAAGTAATTCCTTATAAGGAAATAAATCAAAAGTACAGAATAAAATTTGCTCCAGGTAATCAATTTTGAATATCTGTTGAACATACACGTGATTGCATTGTATTATTAACGTGTCGTTCTATTATTTATTGTGTCTATTAGGTTGTTGCATCTGAAATGACAGAATAATCATTTGACGAAGAAAAGTTTGATAAAAACAAAAACTTCTACCCAAAGAGGTGGTAGAAAATTTTTTATATGCTTAATATACATATAGCGTAACAGAAAGTTTTCTAGTAAAGAGGCAACGGAAACACAGCGTCCGAAATGCTGCGAACTTTCCGAACAAGCGAATACTAACTACATGTTAAAACTTCAGTAAAATGTTATTTAAATTCAATAGGTTAACTCAAGTTTTAATGTGAGTATTTTTTATTAGATATGTAGCAACATTAAATTCTCCTCGTTATAAAATTACCATTGTCCCATTTTTTTAATTAAAACGCCTGTTTAATTATCCTTTTACTCTTTACTACTATTTCGTCTTACACAATTAAACGATATATTCAAAATACCATTAAGAATCTCATAAAAACTGGAAATTTAATTCGTTTTGGAATCGTAAAACGCAATAATAGTAACACGTAAGCTACGTTAACTTGCATGGAAAAGTTTCATGGCACTCTTACATAATTTTCCTGTACACAACACACCGAATATTGTATACACGAAAATCACATGTAAGGCAAGATAGCCGTATGTAGAATCACAGATATATTGCCATCTACGCACAGTGCGGCTAGATAAGAGAATTTGGAAGAAAACTCAAAAATTCAATCAGAAATACCAAAATCTTACAGTTTATTTACAGAAAAATCAAATTAGTAACTAAAATTTGACAAATTTTGTAAAATTATTTACTGCTTTCTGATTCAATATCGCTTATTTGCATGTTATTACAAATATCGAGCTACAACTGAGCTTCTTCAAAAATGGTCGACATTAATCTATTTCTATTTCTGTAAGAGGAATTATCTTCTAATATTTCAATAAGGTTTGATACTGTGGTATGAATATTTTGGTTTTTCATTGTGCGACAGCCCAAACAATCTGACATTTCGCTCCTATGCAGTCCTGTTTCAGGTCTTATATAAAATGTTTGAACAAAACTTTAAAGGTACGTTTCTTACGCCATATACTTTTAAAAAGTTGAGAGAAAAAATGTTTTCAATTTCAACAAATAGTTAGGCCTAAAATTCTGTTTACGTTAAGTCATTTTTTATGATTGTATTTATCATTATATTCAACGTGGATATTCATAATCTTTGTATACTTATCGTTGCATTCACTAGACAATTTTAGAAAAGTTAAAGAATCTGAAACTGACTCATGTCAAATACGCAATATGACCTCACTTTCCTTTTCATCCACGGCAATCATATTGGATATCTTGTCGTTCAATTCAATTAAAAAACTGATAATGTACACTGAAAATAAATGTAGATGAACAATATTTGCATTATTTATTAATGACGTAAACGTTCAAAATATTAAAAAGTGGCATCCGATAATGAATGACATCAATACATAAAATTCATCGAATTTCTTGATTATTTTCAACGAATCGATGATAAGAACATAATTTTTTCAAACTTCCTTTGTTTGCATCCAACTTTATATCCACGATTCTCTATTTCTTAAGAGAAAAAATCAATATCCAATCACTTTACTTCAAAAGTGTTATTTTCAAGGTAAAAAATTTCGTCATCATTTATATATTATACATTTTTACAGGTAAGTTTACAGGAATATTAATTTATCTGTCATATCAAAGGATTTACGAGGTAAAAGGTGAAGTAAAAATCTCTTCAAACTTATGGTGGTTTGTGATGTTTATATTTAAACAAATTTTTTAAACCCTTGTTGTATACTAAAAACAAAAGTGTTTTAAAAATGAAAACTTACGAGGGTAAATTAGTAGTTATTTTATTATTTATCATTACATACCGTGACGTTCTCCGGTGTGGATACAACGGAAGTCGCCACTGTAAAGGTGTCATTGTTTCCCTGCATTCTATTGAGATTCAACGGTGTATTATCGGAATTGCATTGAGCAGCTGCAGCATGCTTCGCATGAGGCAACACCATCGCCACTATCGTTAGGTTCAAATTGATTCTCAACATGTAGTTGATTGCGAAACCGCAGAAGACCAGGTACCACAACACGTCCCGGCATGATAACATTTCTTTTGTTTTCAGTACTCCTGTCGGGCAGGAATCAAAATAAAATTTTAATTAGATTCCAGACGCAATGCACTAATATTGGTCCGTTTCGACACTTGCGCTGAATATGACCCAATTGTTTACACACCTGAAGACACAATACTGTGTGCATACAGAGTAGATAAAAGATATATTTTCACAATCTGTTGCCTGACAATAAATTATAGCAAAGAAAGCATATTATAATTGAAGATAACTTGAACTTTTATTTTATTATAGAAACTTCATTTTATCGTTCGAGCTTTTATTACTTGCATGACCACTTTATAGGTCTAGAAATATAGTGTCTCATGAAAACACGAACATCTAAATATCTCCGTTGCGATGCTAGAAAATGTTTAAGAGCTAAGTTGAATGGTCTCGGAAAAGAAGTAAGATGTAAGATAACATTCTTTTAGATAGACATTATTTTTGGTGAGGTGACCTTGAATTACCAAAAAGGTGATTAAATTCCAAAATAGTGTTAAAATGGTACGTGAACTTTCATGGAACCAACTTTGTGGAAAAATGATGAAACATTCTTTAGACAAGTAATATTTTTTTATGAAGCATTTCTCACCAATCATGGCCAGATAAATCGTGGAAATTTTTATCCTATTTAATTTTATTTCTATATAATTTTATTATAGAAGTATTCCAGAACCGTAGACAGTAAATGCTTGGTACGACATTTTAAATAACGAGACTATTCGACCTTTTTTTAGTAACGGGGCACTAAATGAACAAAGGTACGCAATGTTTTTATCGAATTATCTGGCTGTATTGTTCGAAGATGTACCATCAAGTGTTCATCAGACTATATGGTACCAGTACAATGGTTGCCCAGCTCATTATTCACGGGCAGCTACTGAAGTACTCAATGCAAAATTCACAAAACGTTGGATTGGACCTAATGGGCCAACATGTAACTCGGAACTAACGTTATAAGACTTTTTTTGATGAAAGCTAAGAAGAGGTGTCTACTGACAGCAACCTATCACTCGGAAAGATATGATGAATCGAAAAACTAGAGCTCATGCTACTATTATGTCAATAATAATTAAAAGAGCATCACAATCCGTCATTGCTGTTTTAGACAATCTATGGTGACTTCACGTTAAGCATTTATTGTCGTAAACAGTAAATTCACATACGATTTTAACACTTTCTTGAATTTTGATCACCTTTTTAGTGTTCAAGGTTACCTTAAGGTCATAACTCAGGCATACTAGAATATATATTAACATCCATTAAAAAATACAGTAGGAAAAATATATGCTGTTCTGTAAAAAATACCGGTGACATTGAAGATTCGGAAAATCATAATTTTGGAAAAAAATTTCTTGCACCAAGTACCTCGTTCAAAAATATTCGGTTTATATCTTAAACATTTTCTAATATCATTAAAAACAAATGGGATATTTAAGTGTTTTTATTTTTCTGAGATATCCCGTATATCAATGTGGAATTGTTTTTAATACGAATTAAATGTTTTTAAATTCATAAGTATTTGAATTTACTTTATCTTGAGATAAATCTGAAATAATTTTCAAACGTTATTAAGCTAACTAAGAAACCTTATAGTATAAATATTACGATGCAAAAGTATGGTTCCCACGGGAATATAGTCATATTAATACTATTATTACTATTATCATTCAATATTAAAGAATTGACATTACAAGTAGAGATCACTTAATTAACTTTCTGACGTCTTAGTTCTTTTTCAATAATTTCTTGATTCTTTCAAAGATATTCCGACTGCCTGTCTGGAGATATCGATTCATAAACAAAACGAAAATCTTATCGATATGAATCATTTCAGTTAATTGATAGCTAATTTCTTCTTGCGTCCTAGTTTTACCGAGTTAAATCGTATTCGTCATCACGTTCCATTGAATATACAAAATTAACTTTGTATTTTCATTTCACCTCCGCATTTGTATTTAAATTTGACAATTACATTTTAAATTTGAATTTAGAAAAAATTGCGTCATAACAAGTGAATACTTTAATAAATACAGATAATTTCCTTAAACACCACACAATTACATTTAATTGCCAGAAATGAAATTTCATTTTGATTATTGAAATTTCATTTTTTAATTTTAAAATGGTCTTCCTCATTTAAACTTAAATTTTCAATAAAATTTTACACAACCAATAAACAAATACACATAACTGGCTTAAAAATAAAATTCGTATTTGTAAATTCTAATTTTTAACGGCCAAGATGTTAATACTATCTATGGCAATCATTCGTTTATATTATTATTATATACCCGCATTCTTTAAAAATCGAATACATTTTGGAAGAAAGTGTGGTATAGCACCTCAAGTGCCGTAATTAAACGATAAACTCTCTATTTGTAATGTTCCATAACATCGATCATAATTTTCAAATCTATCTCGATACAGATTCTACATATATAATTGATCGTTGTATCAACATTACTTTGCACATACACTGTATGCACATGTGTTTCCCAGGAATCAGGTAACATGTCAGAGCACAGACTAATTTGTCAGTCCAAGTTCCTATCTTCTTTGGAAATTCCACTATGAAAAACGGTTCTACTTACTTTTGCTCATTGTTTCGATTTTCGCTCGTTCTATTAAGAAGCGCTACACGCTCGTCAACCAGACACGTTTTCACCGCTGAAGTATATCGCACATGTGCCAATATACGTCGTGAGATCTCTGAAACGGTGAATCGACGGAAACGCGTCCAATTTCGGACTGCTTTTATTTTAAATGTTTCATAGGTGCACCATTCCTGGAGAACTCCTGTGACAATTATCGTTCGATGTCGACGTACTTCACGTCAACATTTTTCGTTGACAGATCTCGTTCGTGGTGCGGTAATCAGTTAATGTCGCGGAGAACACTGCATGCCTGTTCTTCAGTTACAACCGCGCGAACCCTGAGGAATCTTTCCACGAGCCTCCAACCGTACAGAAATAGTCCTGATAACAATGATTATTCGTTCGCTACGTTTCCACGGAAATCAAATTCTTTCTTCTATGCAAATGACTTGTGTCCAGTGATCTGTTACCCGATGCTGATTAATCCATCGGCAATAAATTAATTATTTGACGCGTTTAATTCGGTCACGCGTCTAGTGATTGGAATACACATCGGGCTGACGGAAATATTCAGAGACCTATACTCCGGGGTATGTGCCGATGATTACGAATATAGCTCAGAATTGGACACATCTTAATGTTGTATAAAGCAATAATCAATAATTCCCCCTAAAATGGAATTAAGATTTACTTTATGAAATTGTAAAGTATTTATACCATAGTTACAAGTTTTACTGCTAAATGAACGGAACAGGACCATTAGAATGGAATATTTATTAACTGTATATCGAAAATTGTAATTGCATTAGGAACTCAATTGAACTGAAATATAATAGTTAGCAATCCTGATTGTAATAGAAGCAATAATTGTATTCAGAGACTTACATATTGTAAATCTAAAATAATAGGTATGAATTTTGTAAATTCTTTTTTAATATCACAGGCGAGATATATGTATAGACCTATCATATAATGCACCTTCATGGTCAGATTTTGTGGGGTTTTTGGACCCCATAACTACTTTAAAGTGACTACCCGACATTACCGATAATGCATAAATTCTGAGTATTATTAGCACAAATGGAGCATTATATATACCATTCATATGGTCGGTATTCAATAATTTACAATAATATACATATAAAGATAAATGTTTAAAAGCTTTTACCAAATATATAACATACACATAATAATAGAATGCAATTTTCCCTTAGTGTTATTTATTTATTAATATATAATGTATACATTTATAGATTTAGTTCATACTTTTTATTACTTAATTTATTTATAATTTTGTTTCTTTTATTTGTTGCATTAAATTAAATTTGTTACGTTTTCATTTGAATTTTTACAACATAAAGGAAAGTATCATGTCAAATGAATGCTTTTAGATTTTCATCAATTTCAATACTTTTTTTCACGTGAACGCTTTCTTAGAACGACTTGTCTGGAAGAAGAAGTTCTACTCTATCGATTGAATGTACTTTTCTGTCAATCTATATTATTTTAATACATAAAAAGTCTTCGTAACCGTAATCTTCGCCTTAAATGTCCAACCATTAAGATATTTACCTTATACCTCGTCTGTGTTATAATACAGTAGCCACTCGATAATTGATCATCTTGGGCCTGTAGACTGTAGATGGCCAAATTTCCAGAAACTGATGAACTAACGAGCGCCAATTACCCGCTGTTCCGTGGTCGTATCAGGTATATGTATAGATTCTTCAAGGAGCTTTTTAAGCGGTACATTCCTCTTTTCAACTGGGTTAGTGCCTATGTTTATTCCCGCCAAGTCGTATTAGTCGGGGATCTACTGGTCTGACCAATCAACTACTCGCGACCCCCCGAAGACGAACCGCTCGGGATTGGCCGAATATAACCGAAGTGTCATTCGTCTCGAAAAAGTTGACGCGACAAGACGTAGAAGCCGTTTGATCGTGCCAAAGTGAGTGTTTGGCAATTAACTTTCATCTTTATTCATATATATTAATTGCTGGTACGTTCATTAACTATCTACCGTTACCGTCCTTTAATATTTATCCAATTTAGACTAAACAATTTCAAATTAATTCGATACCATAGGGATTGGTTTACTCTTCGGTTTCACTGTGTATCAATTAATACAATATTTACGTATTTCTGATTCAATTTGCAATCTTTGTGACACACCACAAGTCCAATAATTGTTAATTTGTAACATAACTATCCTTAACGTAGTGCGATTACTTAAAATTCATATTTATTTTCTGTTTCGAAGTTTCGGGTTAGAAGTACACACTACCGCCCTGAGTATTGTTCACTCCCTTCAAACGGAATTCGGCGGGAAATTGGTCTACTCTGGTAATTAATTAGAATTTTTATTAATACGAAGTTAAATCATTTTTATTGCAAATTAAATGAGAAAGAATCAAAGA